ATGGGGGTGGAAATGGTGCTCTGTTGCAATTGTACGAACCGTTGGGCAAATGTTCAACGAGTTATAAAACCGAAACTCGAGGAAAACCCCCAAAAAGCGAACGAAAACTTTACTGCAGGGCCAAAATATGAAAAGTTTTCCTTCAAACAGTCACGCCCCCAGAAAAAGGCGATGTTATGCACGTGTGTGTGGGTGTGTGTATGTGTGGGCGGGAAATCTGCCTTTTTTTGTGATTAGCATAAAACTGCCAAAAAGTCTGATGGTGTCCCTGGCTTTGGGTGGAATCTGACTTTAACACTTAAAGAAATATATTATTTTATTAAAAAGACTTTTATGTTTAACCGTTACTTAACCGGTAAGTTTAAACTCTTTATTTCCTTATCAGACAGAATTTAGATCTTTAGATCGAATTTATTATAATAAAATATAAGAGGCCACGCTTTCTTGTACTTAAAGGTCTGAAAATTGGTAAATCCATTTTTTATGAAAGAAGATATTAATTATAATAATATTTAAGATTTAAAGAAACAATCTAATTTTTCTTCAAGTGCTTTTGAAGCCAATAAACATTTATACTTGCACTCTGGTTCCGAAGACACCCACAGAGCTGAGCTCGGCTGCTAAATACCTCAAAAAATATTGGCAGTAGCTGTTCGTTCCGTTCCCAGCGAAAACTGACCGGAAAGTCAGGCCGGGCTGCATTCACAATGTGCCCAATGGCCTGGACTTTGGGACTCCGGAGAACGGACTTCGGACTCTGGACTCTAAACTCCTGACTCTGGATTTCCAACTACGATCCTCTCGACTCGGTTTTACCGACTTGTTTGCATGTGTTGCGCACTTGCTGTGAGGCTTACCTTGCACATCCGCACTCACATGCATGGGTGTGGTTTTTTTTTGGTGGAAATAGAGGAAAAAGGTTTTGGGGCATTCGTATTTGGCAAGCTAAACGAGTTTAGTTGGCCAAACATTATCATAACTTGGTCGTTTGCAAGCCGCAATGGTGTAATCGTTTCATTTTTAAAACGTTTTCGGCATTTTTACGGTACTTTACCAAAATGGCTGCCTTTCCGTTCATTATTTTGATGTCCGGTTCGGGAGGGGGTGGAAAAACTAACACTGCCTATTTAAAATGCAATATGTGTGTGTAGTGGGGGGTCTGCATACCGCATAATAATAAACTTTCACTTTTGGCGCAGGTTAACTCAACTGTAGTCTCGCTTTTTTCAGCTTTATTCGACGGCAATTTGAGCGGCAAATGATTGCTCACCTCTCGGGGGAGTAGAAAAAAAGGGTGGCCAAGTATCTGTGGGTGCTTTCAACCCCTTTCTCCCAACTTAGGAGGGGTCAACGCCGGCCGCAGGTGTCGGCATATAATTAATTTTATGCATAATCAAGCAAAGTGAAATAAAAACGCCTATTAATTATAGTTTTTGCTGCCAGCCCTAAATAACTTTATTCGTGTTCGGTGTTCGGTGTATGTAGGTTTGTGTGTGGAAAGAGGGGAAATTAATTCAATGCGCTTAAATTTCACGTCTATTAGTCTCCGGAGACCTACGCCATTTTCTAATTTCCATACTGCTGCTGCTGTTTCTGGCATTTGGGCATTTGGGCCATCCAACGCCACTCGCCGGGCAATTAATTTAGAATTTTAATACCCAAAGTCGCTGCTGCTGGCTAATTGTGGCCTGCAGAGTGACCCTGGCCTGGTGAGACCTTCGACTACATTACACCGATAGAAAAAATGTCGATATTAATTGAGTTGTGAGTTTGTAATATCAGAAGGATATGCATTTTAGGCTGAACAGAAACGAATTTTTCTCCCATACCTAAACAAAAAGTCTTATAAATAACTTTCAAAAATTCTAGAAATTAAAATGAATCAAGTTATGATTCTGTAATATTAAAAGAATATACATTTCAGACTTTTATTTTAGTTTTCCAAATAAATAAATAAAATCTACGAATTAAAATAATCATTTAGAAAAAGTTTTAGAAAGTATATAATATTAGAAACCTTATTTTTTTACCGTGCATATACCTATACTCCATAAAGATCGATTCGTACTTTAAAGGGGCGGCTTGAATTCCAGCTGCATCCGGGTGAAAACCAAGGGTTAAGCGACCTTCGGTGGCTGAACATTAGGTGGCAACTCTGGTGGGAAGGGGGGAGAAAAACAGAGAAACACCTGCCCGAACGGAAGCGGAAACTGTCAAAGGCACAACAAACAAACGCAGCGATGGAAAAAACACCGAGAGCATTGGGGGAGTGGTGGCAGGCGAAAAAAAGCAAGAAAAAAAATACAAAAAGAAAAACCATTAGACGACACAATTTACTAGGTCAGCAGCAAAGGATGGCAGGTGGCAGGGCAATAAAAACAAAAGTGCCAACTGGCATGAGCCAAGTGGAAAAGCAAGGAAAGGCAAGGAAAATGGCAAGTACTTGTGTGTGTGTGCGCAAACAACAGTTTAAAGTGCGACTGACGATGGTGGCAAGTAATAAGACAAAGTGGAAATTTAATCAACAATAAACCTGAAACTGTTAAATAGGCAAACACGAGCTCAAATTGAGACAATGAAAAGCCCGTTATTTATGCGGTGGCCGGGCTAATTACGAAAATAAAACATGATTTATGGCCCAAATGAGCCGAATGTGTGGGTGGAACCTAAAGAAAAGCTAGATTGAGCGGAAGGAAGGAAAGGAAAGGAAATGTATGGCCGAGCAAACAAAGGACCTTCTTCCTTAGGTCCTCATATATAAAGCCTTCGAGTTGTGTGAGCCATTATTTGCGGATAATTGGTATGCGAATGATAGTCCCGAGATGAAATGACTCGAAAGCGAATTGCAGGCAAATCAATCAGGCAAACACCCGAAACAAAGCCAGAGGAAAAGGAAAAGAACTCCGAGGCCTAGATCTCATCATTATGGCTCATTAGCAAAGCAATTTTAGCGGGTGTGTGTAGTAAATGTAGTCCCCCATTTTCGCTTTCCTCGCTTTTCTTTCCTTTGCGGCTTACTCGCATATTGAATGCTGCTAATTTGGCCATAAGCCGCTCAAGGCCCCCGGACCTCGTGCATAATGCCCAATCTCTCAGTGTGTCAACGTCGACAAAACTATGCCGCCCACTGAGCCAGCCCCTTTTATAAGACTTAGCGAGGCCTAAGCCAACTGCTTACTGCTCGCATGTACAAGCTTGTGGGTCCAGAAAAAATATGAGGCCGACCAGAAGCTACAGGGCTGCGCAATTTGGTTCGGGGTTCAAGGAACTAGTTCGTTCTGAAAATTGTTCATACAAAATAGAAGATTTTTAAAACATTTCTACATTGAAAATAAAGAAAAGAAAAATTGAAATGCAGTTTTTCTAAGAAGTCTCATAAGCATCCTTTGGTATTGAATATTAAAAATTGTATTTTTCGATTTTTTTCAGTTTGAAATATAAAAAAATCAAACATTTTTATTTAGAAATGAAATAGTTTGTTTCATAACATTTCTGCATTAAAATGTAAATGCAACTTGCTTTATCAGCATTCTTTAGTATTAAATATTAAAAATATTATCTTTGGATTTTCCCTCCTTGAAGTATCATAAAACTCAAAAATTATTATATAGAACTTTATTAAAGCGAGTAACAACATTTAAAATTTGATATATCAGTGATATCTGTGTTACTTAACTATTACTTTAAAACAGATATTTATATTAGCTATCTTTTACTCAATAATAACTGGAATCTGTGCATTACCCCATGCTAAATCCTTAAGGATTGGGAATGCCGTAATGTGACTGCGGTTTTCAGGACCTCCTGTGTCCATTATTCGGCGGAGAAGCTGCAAGGACTCCTGCCTGCGCACGCACAAGCTGGCTTACGGACAAACATCGCCGTCGAGGCTTGTTGATAGCCTTTATTGTCTGCAACTGCTGCGACTCTTAATGTCAACGATGTTCGTGGGTGGGGTAGGGAAAAAGGGGTTGTATCTCAGGTTTTCCAGGGGGTGAAGGGGGGAGGAAAAGGGGAGTCCGGCTTGTTGACGTTGGCAACCGCAGCAACAAATGTGCATAGAGTCAGCAGCTGGGGGTGACTTTCGCAAAACGGGGGGTTGGAATAAGCAAATGCAACAGCAACAGACTGCTGGCTCTCATTATGTGTAATGGCTGTAGCAACATCATCAACGGCCAGTAAACAACAACAAAGACGGCACAACAACAGCAGCAACAACAGCAACAACTACCCCGGCAACAACAACTGCTGTCAGGCAGTCCGAAATGACAACAATGCGCCAAAAAGGAGGAAGTCATGAATGCAATCTACCTGCACGTTGCCGCCCGATTCCGAAAGGAATGAAAAGCCAGCGGAAAGCAAAGGAAAAGCAGAGGAAAAGCTGCTGCCAGCAGTTACTTTCTGCCGCTGGCAGCAGCAAACAGCATCAAAAGCAACAACAAAGGCCGGCAACGAATACCAGTAATGGGAAATATGATCCAGAGTTGCAAAACATGGCTGCGAAAGGATCTCGGATGAATGTCACAACGTTTGCTCGTCCCGGAGCTCATTATATAAGGATTGCACTGTACAAAAGAAGTAGAAAAAGCATGCTTTTTAGACATTTTATAAATATTTTTTTTTAATAAATATTAAAAAACGAAACTCTAATTCTTGATATTTCTATATTTAGCTCGCAGTTTTTAAAAACGCGAATTCTTGAGCATTTATTTCACTAAACTTGTTGTCCCTAACTCTTTAAGTAACTGAAACCAAAACATTTTTTATGCTTTAAAAATACCAAAAACGCGAATTCTTGAGTCGCCCAACTTTAGCTTACACAACCATTTATCTATCTACATTTGTAATGTTATGAACCTGTGTTGAAGTAAATTTAATTTGGAAGCCAACCGATAAGACCCCGACTTTGCCAAAGCACTTAGTTTTAAGATAGTTTATGTAATAGCTTCTGGATAAACGGAAAACTAATCGATACCTTCCCCCATCTTTTGCCATTCCAGCATGGACTTCACGTGTCTGTTCTGCTGCAGCCTGGCCTTCGTCCTATATCTGAACACCCTGAACGCTGGCTTCGTCTACGACGACAGGTAAGAGTCATTATGCCTGAGAAACCGGGCTGGGGAAATGTTCAAGCTTCCAGGCAAATTTATTAAAGTTGCGATAGCATAGCCTGAATTGCGTTACGTTACAAAAAAAAGGAAAGTCGCCTGCGGCATGCCTTGATGCTGCAATGGAATTCCAGTGGCGCTTAAAATCGAATTTCAGCCCACACACACTCACACAGAGAAGAGACCGGGCTGCTTCACCGACTTTATGCGGCATTAGAGTGGCATTTGTTTATGTGAACCACTGGCGGTGGGACAGGTGGTAGGGTGGGCCGACCACCCCATCGGCCTTTGCCATGATATACGAGCTGCTGGCACCGCCGTCGCCGTTGTCACGAACACCCGGCCAAAATCCTACAAAAGTCCGCCTGCCGTGCGTGCAGAGAGTGCACAGGTGGTGGAGTAGAAATACCGGAGGAGCCTGCTCCGCGGAAGCCCCTGCTCCTCAGGACTCCCGCCAAAAGACCAAAATGCAAGCCCTGTGTGTTTGTGTGGGAAAAGCCAACAGGATACCACTCGATGATGTTGGCAATGTAGTGCAAGTCGTTCCCAGAATGCTAGCTGCCCCTATTCCTGTGCACTTGAATTAAAAGTTGAGAGAATAATTTCAATAACCTAGAAATTCTCATTTTCAATTTAAACGCGAATTCTTCAGCCATCTTTATTAAACTTTGGACCTAGAAAAATGTTTTGTCTAATTTTAAACCGAAATGAATTAGAAAGTCCCATTTTCAATTAAAACTCGAGTTCTTCAGACGCCTTTACTAAATTTGGAAATATTTTAAGGTGTATTCAACCAAGTCAACCAATTTGGTAAAACAATTTTCAAGGGGGGTTAAACCCAGACCATTTTTGATATATATTTTATGGGACTTGATAACTTTTGAGTAGTGCATTTCCACATGCCTTGCGTGCAGATGCCGATGCTGCCATCAATGACAACATCGAGACGTAGTCAGCTTGGCCTTACCTTGGCTTGACTGCGGCACAAAATGTGACCAATAAATGCATGGGCAGCTGCAAGGGGGGTCCTTAATGACTGGACAAATGTTACTGGACGAAAGACCTTAGCTTTAGGATTTTTTGCTAGGTTGAAAAGTCTGTGAGGTTTGTAGAAACCACTAAAGTTCTTAAGTTCTGAAGAATTCGCGTTTTACGCAACTTTAACTTAAAGACAAATAAAAGAGCTTGGGAAATCAATCAATTGACCGGATATTGCTTGATGGTCTGTACTGAGTGCTTCTTACATCTCCCTTCCCTTCCTTCCTCCTTTTTGCAGACGCGCCATCCTGGCGAATGCGGATGTCTCGGGCGGAACTCCCTGGCAGCGGAGTTTCTCGAACGACTTCTGGGGCACTCCGCTGACGGACAGCGGATCCCACGGCTCCTGGCGACCGCTGTGCGTGCTGAGCTTCCGGCTGAACTATCTCATTGGCGGGGGATTTGCGCCGTGGGGCTTCCACCTGGTCAACAATCTGCTGCACTGCGTGGCCACCGCCCTGGTGGTGCGAGTGGCCCGGACTCTGCTGGCCTCCGTGTGGGCGGTTCTGACCGCCGGCGCTCTGTTTGCCGCCCATCCGATTCACACGGAGGCGGTGGCCGGAGTGGTGGGCCGAGCGGACGTGGCCGCCTGCGTCTGCTACCTGCTCACGTACCTCAGCTACCTGCGACACATGAGGTGGCGCGAGTCGGGGGATCCCCGCCAGTGGCTGGCCCTGGGAGCCACCCTCTTACTGGCCCTGGCCGGTCTGCTCTGCAAGGAGACGGCCATCACGGCGCTCTTGGTCTGCGCCATCTTCGACGTGATGCGCGGTCTCAGTGGAACGGTGGATAAGGTGAGTCATCCTGCGATTTAAATATTTTTTGCTGCTTCCCCAAATATTTTTTTATTTTTAAAATTATTGGTAATGTTAAAAACACCCAAAAAAAAAATGATACGAATCAATGATCAATTTGATATTATATGGTATCAATTTTGAAATGATATGCGGCTTCTCAGTTTTATATGCTCGAAATGTAAACAACAGGCTATCTTTCTTTTCTCTTTTTCGAATTCAAAGAATCTCTGAGAGAAAAAAGTCAGCAAAATGATAATATTTAATATCAATTTTAGCAGTATGGCATGGTATAAATACCATATACCATGCGCATATCTATAATAATGTTATTTGATATCAATTTTAGAAGTATTGCCTGGTAAAAACGATATGTGTAGAAATTTACCAGGCGCATATCGATTTGATCCCCTTGTGTTTTTTTTGTGCGTAGTAAAAAATATGTTAAATTAATTACCGCAACTCTCTGTGCTTTCTCTTCCACAGCAACGCCTGCGATCTGTGTGCATAGTTCTGGGCGCTCTGTGCTGCGGTATCTACTGCCGCCTGGTGATTGTGCCCGGACCGCAGACGGCCTTCTCTAGTGCGGACAACCCCATTGCCAGGACGCCCTCCGCCTGGACGAGATTGCTGACCTTCCTCTACCTGCCCGTCTTCAATCTGCGCCTGCTGCTCCAGCCGAATGTGCTGAGCTTCGACTGGGGCATGGATGCCCTGCCCAGGGTCACTTCGCTGTGGGATCGCCGCAATGCCCAGTCGGCCTGTTTCTACTCGCTTCTGGTGGGTGTGGCGTGGCGCAGCTGTCGTCAACTGCTGGGCGGGTCAGCAAAGGGGGAGGTGACCCCTGGGGGAGGAGTACCATCCTCCTCCTCCTTTCCGCAGTACCACATCCAAAAGGTGGCCAGTCGCAAGTCTCGCTCCAAGCGCAAGCGAATGGCCAACAGCAGTAGCAGTACCAAGTACCAAGCCTTTGAGGCAGCCTATCACCATCAGCAGGATGGATCGCTTCCATGTCGCGATTGTAATAACAATAATAGTAGTGGCTATGTCTACCCGGCCAACGCAACCCAAAGCACCCCTCACCTCGTGTCTTCCGCGTTTCGCGGCTCCCGCAGCAGCAGCAGTTGCAGCAATAGCACAAATAGCTCCACTTCCAGTTCGAGTTCGAGTTCCAGCTCCTCAAGTTCGAGTTCTAGCAGCAGCTCCAGTGGCTCCACCTATCGGTGCTCCTCCAAGGACTACGCGCTGGAGGGAATGTCGCCGGGGAATCGGCATGCCTGTGTGCTGCTCATGTCCCTTAGCTTTTTGGCCCTGCCCTTCCTGCCCGCCAGCAATCTGCTGTTCTACGTGGGCTTTGTGGTCGCCGAACGACTTCTATACCTGCCCAGCGTGGGATTTTGTCTGCTGGTGGGCTATGGGGTCTCCAAACTGATGGCCGGCAGTCCGCGAACCCGCATTACCCTACTACTGAGCTTCAGTGTCCTTTTAGCCGCCATGAGTCTGCGAACTTTGCGAAGGAACGCCGACTGGCGGGACGAGGAGAGCCTGTACCGCAGCGCCATTGCCATCAACCCGCCAAAGGGTAAGTGGATCTCTTGGATTCGATCTGTTCTAGCCCAGCTAATTTGATTTGGCTTTCTAGCGCTGGGCAATCTGGGCAGCGTACTCAGCTCACAAGGGCGCTACGAGGAGGCCAAACAGGTCCTGCAGGAGGCCATTCGGTACAGGCCCAACATGGCGGATGTGCACTTTAACCTGTGAGTAACCAATAACCGATAGCTTGCAGCACTTAGCGAGCAGTTAGAGTGCCTTTTTCGGGTTAGGGTTGGCAGAAAAGGGGTTATTTAAGAAATTTACTGGATATCTATTCTATAAAGCTATACCAAAAATAATTCAAAATAATTCCCTGAAGTTATTTAAAATAGGTAATACCCTTTTTTTTTAGAAAAATTCAACTGAAAAATGTTATTAAAGTCGGGTAACGCATTTAATCTTGCTCGATTCTCATAAAAGTGTAAACCGGAACTGGCCTCATTATGTTGCCCACCCACACATGTGACAGGCAAAAGCGATGCGATAAATGGCAGCCATTTTCATTATCTTTCCATGCGTTTTCCACCCACATTAGGCACTATATATTCACCACCCCCAACCCTGAATACCCTGAAAACCCTTCGGTTGGGTGCGCATTTAGCGCGGCCATTTTATGCAGCGCAGCATCCCAGTTATGAGACTTCGTCCCCGAGATGGCAATACAATGCCGAACAAGCTGTCAAATGAAGCCCATTTCCTTTTTTTCCCTGCCATCAAGTTACCCGAGACACGCACCAATCCTCCAAGTCGCCAGGCGACTGCATCCTTCGTCTCGTTTTCCCATTTGTATCCTGCTCAGGGCATTTGCGTGCCGCTGCAGAAACTATGCGCATTTCGTGATGCGTGCACTGGGAGAAACGAGTGGCAGTACTACGAATAATATAAAATATTTTCAAAATGCTAAAGAGTTCGCGTTTTATATATGCCATGACCAAAATCAAGGATTAGAAACAACAAACGCTATTTTTAACATCAATTTAACATTAATTACTGGTAAATAATATCACTTATACAACGAATTATAAGAAATATTTTCCTATTGCGTTATTCATGTACCATGACCAAAATCAGGGATAAGAAGCTACAAATTCAATTTTTAATATTATGTTGCCCACATTTTTTACTGGTAATTAATATCATTTTTACAGAAGAGTATACAGTTAATTGGGTATTTTTTTCTGTGCACCATCCAGGATGCTCGACAAAAGTCCTTAGCTTTCACACTCTCTCCGTCCGTCTGTCCGTTTGTCTGTCCGCATGTCCCTCTGTCAACGTCTGACAAAGTCTGTAAGCGTGCTCTGTTCTGTTCTGTTCTGCTCAGAACCCTCTGTTTGGTATAGTACTCCACTGCTGGGTCTGTGTTTTGTCTGTTGTCTGTTCGCATTGCATTTTTGCTCATTGCGCATATTTCACAGCAGCGACGCGATGCGACATAAAACGGGACAGAACAGAAGGAAAAGCCAGTGGAAAAACGGAAATACAAAAATACAAAGCTGAAAAGAAAAAAGAAAAGCAGCAAGAACGAAGGAAAGAAAAGTGAGCGCGGAGTTGCGCTTTGAATATTCAGTGCGTCATTTCGGGTTTTCCTTTTTACCGCCTGTCTGTCAACGTCAGGCGGCTTGTCGCAAGCCAGATTATTGCTTGTACTAACCCCGATTCTCGCTCCTTTTTCCCATTTTCCCTGGCTAATGCCACGGTCCTCAAGTCAATGGTTCAGAACCAGGTCACAAGTGCTAAGGCTGCCATTATGTGTGTTCTATGTTCTGTATCCTGGGTGGAAACCCTTCAACAGGCTGCTAATCGAAAATCAATGTTGGCCGCCTCAACCGCAGCAGCCATCCAGAGTTTCCCCCTCCGTTTTCGCAGCAATCCTGCGGATATACATCCTGGCACATACATTATTTACTGCGATCAAATCATCAATAGCAATGCTCGCGGCGCTGTCGCTTGCTTGACTGATTGCCATCTCCCCAAAGTCCCGAGTCCCGAATCCCTGCACACACTCCCACATGTCCTCCTGGCGAACCAGCAAACACCGATACACCGATACCAGCAAATCACTGAGCTGTATAATTTGATTTTTTACTTTACCCCACGTCAAACATTCGTGATTTTATTGTTGCTTTGCTGCTGCACTTGTTGTGGCTCGCATTCGAATGGGGAAAAGTGAAAAGGACCGTCCCCCTTTCTTCCTTTTGCTCTGAAATTGGTTGCGGAAAAGTGCAAGGCAGTCGTGGCTTTAAGAGCCAGCTGCTTGGCAGTAGCAAACTAATTACACAAATCCAAGTCGTACACCTAAGAAAAAAAAGTATGGAAAATTAAAAAAAAGCTGTGAATATATATAGAACTACTAAGAAAAATAATTCTATATGATTAATGTCAAATTTATGATTCAAACATATCAACTTGATATTTTATCATATCATGTAAAATACGAAATGTAGTATTTTTTGAACAAGTAATTTCATATAAATCATATCATTTATCATGTAATACTTAAATTTGGTTCAGTGAAATAGTAGCTGCTCTTCTGAGTAGTAACCCTTCAATCCCCCAAGCACTCAAGTTGTCAGGCTTCGCGGAGCCCCAAAGAGGCCAGTCTCTCCGATTTAGGCGCTCTAATTAGATCTCGAGAGCCGGACAAGTTCAGTCTATTAATGTCAACACTTTCGCTCTCGCTTCAGGGGCATCCTGCACCAGAATCAGCAGGTCTATCCCGCAGCTGTCGAGTGCTTTCAGCGCGCCATCAAGTTTCGACCGAATCTGGCGGGTGAGTTGGCCTTTGGCATTTGGCATTGGTTGGTAGCATAGCTTACTCACGATATTACCCTCTCTTGTACAGTGGCCTACCTCAACCTGGGCATATCATTTATAGCGCTGGGCAAGCGCCAGCAGGCCATTGAAATTCTGCAGGCGGGCTCCAATTTGGATGGGGCCTCTGTGCGAGATCGAGGCGCCCATGATCAGGCACGCAGCTCGGCCTACTTGCAGTTGGGCGCCCTCTACGTCGAGCAGGGAAAACTCCAGCGAGCTCTGGCCATCTATCGCGAGGCCCTCTCCTCGCTGCCGGGTTTGCCGCAGCAGCGAGAGGTCCTATACCAGCGAATCGGCGATGTCCTGGGTCGCCTGCAGCAGTGGGACGAGGCGGAGCGGCACCATCGGGCAGCCCTCGAACTGCAGCCCAACCAGGTGGCCGCCCATCTATCCTACGGCATCACACTGGCTAGAAATGTAGGTATCCTGAATAGGCTATGGTTAACCAACTCTATTTCTAATTTGTGCGCTCTTTTCCCTGCAGAGTAGCCGCGCCTCGGAGGCGGAGATGTGGTTCAAGCGGGCCTTGCAACTGGCGCCCGAACAGGCCAGCGTATACCATCACTATGGTGAGTAAAAAATATTTAAATTCTACTTAACAACATTTATTTTTGCAATATTATTTTGTTAATGGATATTAAGGTAAAAAAAATGATACAAGGGTTACTTTCGCTAGAATTGGTAATTAAAAATTTAGCATTTTGTTAGAAACTTTGTCATAAAATGTCAAAATAAGGAGTGTCATACATCATTGAGCTCGTAATTTTATTCCCTATCGATTTGCATTCAAACCTGAACATTTTAATTTTTGGGCATTCGATTTTATTTTATTTTATTTTTATCAAAAATCCAACAATCGAATCACTACTAATAAGAATATGTATTGTTATACATTTTAACATTTAACTTATATAAATATGGTTCAATAAACTAATTAAAATAAAAATAATTGCAAAAAATTATAAACCCTTTTTGACCATCTTATACAAAATTTGAAAATAACTGAAACCATAAATGTAACCCCCGTTTGTAATCTTAAATTTAATCAAAGTGCTAATCGTTTTTATTTCCTCATTTTTTAGCCGAATTTCTCTCGCTGCAGTCGCGACATCATGAGTCGGCTGTCTATCATCGGCGAGCCGCTGAATTGGCGCCCAACGATTACGCACTGGTGGTGGCAGCGGCCACAGCGATGCGACTGCTGGACAGAAAAGTGGAGGCAGAGCTGTGGTACAGAAAGGTGAGTCAATAGAAACACTTAACAAATCAACTCTTTTTTTAAAACGAAATGCTTTTATCTTTTAGGCCGTGGCTCTGAGACCCGACGATGCCCATGCTCACACCAATCTAGGAGCCATTCTGCATCTGCTGGGACGCACGAATCATGCGGCTGCCAGCTACAAGGCGGCCCTGCGACTTCAGCCCGGCGATGCCATCACGCTGGGCAATCTGGCCAAGCTGGGCGTCACGAATGTCTAGCAATTGTAGTGGTCACTATAGCCAACCAGCTAACGATTAAGTTAATTAACCAAAAGCAGAGATATTTTTATATAGAAAAGGGCTGGAGAAAGCGTTAGATAACTCTACAGAATTTATACAAAGGACTTCGATACATATGTATATCATTTAGCAGCTGGCAGCCGTGTAAATATCCAAGCAGCGACCAAAGAATTTCACAAAATATAGATAGAGATACCGAGATATTGAGATACCGAAACGGAGCAGAACAGACAAAGATTGAGAGCTACAGATACAGATGAAAAGGAATCAGAGGAGAAGCGACAGAGAGAACAATAATTAAAATATAAAAGGGTTATACTGTACAGCTATAGAATTGGATCTGTGGGAACGAAGATTGGGTAACTACTCGTAATGTGCTTAAAAATATCCGTGTAAATTACTGTAAATACGAGATTACATCCGCACGGCAAATGAGTGTGGGCCATATATTATTGACTATATATATACGATATGACTTGGCTTCTCGAGATTGTTTTGTCCGTTGTGTGTACAATTTAGTTAAGCAAATACACATACCAATAAAGAAATGTATGGATTGTATAAAGATATGGCAAGGAGAATATATAATAAAACCAAATGAATTGAAATGAAATGATTGAAGTGAAGATTTCACTGGGTTTGGGGTGGGTTGGTGGAATCGCATTCCGTAAGCCTGCTCAGTGGCACATTCCATCCATAATTACAACCTAAGCCCCACTTGCAGGCTAAGCAGCCAAGGGAAATATTTTCAGTGCTCAACGGCTTAGATCCTACTGTCCCTATCTACTCGACTGCTCCTTCGCCGAGATGAGCCCAAGTACAAACACAATCAATGTCAGAATTTTCGAGCCAAGTCGAAGACGGAGACGGCAAGGGCGCCACTTAAGCCGTGGCCAACCACAACAGGAAGTAAGGCGCTGTGTCTTCTGGCTTCTGGCAGGCAAATCGCAGGATTATGAATTACAATATACCCGAGTGCTCCTTGCTGCAGTCATAATATTGCCACAGCTAATGCCACGTCTAAATGGCCGGCTTGGCAGGCATTCCGGATTCCTCTGGAAGGATTCCTCCTTGCGAGATGTTGGCGACCGATAAAGGTGATGACTTTTGACATCCGGAGGAGAGGAGCAAGTGCACTTCAGAGAGCACCACCAATTGGTTTGGCAAGTCGAGTGGCTGGTTGCCCGCTGGCGGTGGCGCAGAACGTGCCCAAGAGCGAATAAATGAATGTATCAGACAGTCGGAGTCACTTTGTCCGTCACCCAGTCAGTTGCCCGTCAAACCGTCAACCCGTCACTCCTGTGGGTAGAGAGGAACGAGGACGTAGCATCCTCCTCCAAAAGAGTGTCATGTTGCCGGAGCCACTTTGTTGCAGGGGGAGACTACTACTGCCACTAAATGCGCTCGTTCCTGAGAGCTGCTCACTAATTGCAGACGCCTCCGACTGCTCCAGTTGCCACTACCTCCTCCTCCTTCAGTCACCACCTATCATCTGGGCTTCTTACAAAGTGACTCGTTAGCTTTGTGGGCCAGCCACTGGGTGGCAAGAACTGGCGTTCAGTGCGCTAATTACTGACAGCCTCGGCGGCGAGTGCTCGGATTTATGACAAGACATCGTCAGCGTCGATGGCTCCACTGGCCACTCAGGCCAGTGAATGAACCAGATCCCAGGCATCGTCGCTTGGGTTACGTCTGAGTGGGCATCGACCAGACTGTTTGAGCGGGGACTAGTGATCGACAAGGAACTACCCCGTATTAGTTACCTTTTAAAAAGAATAAAAAGTAATAAAAACCAAGGTAGTTGGTAAATGCGGGTTCAAGTCACTTTTTTCTAAATCTTCGAAAACTTGGATTTTACTTACATAAAAAAAGCTAAAATAAATTGATTGTATTTAAACAAAAAATCCTAACTTTTCTTCGGTTTATATCCGGGTTATATCTGATATTTCCGTTGGTCGTGACCTTCTTCAAATACTCTTCTTTAAGCTACAGGGTAATTAAAGGATTTGCCGGACAATGGCCTGGACCTGTTCTGCGGAGGAGGAGTTGGGTTGGGATACCAGGAGAGTGGGCTGCTGATAGGACCAAAGGACGGAGGGACCCGGACCCCACCTGCCAAGTGCAGCAACAGACGCAGCTAATTCCAGCTAATTATGGCCTGGAGCTGTGTGAACTGAAGACGACAGCCGGCAAAAAAGCTTACACAATGTTTGATATGTGTAAAGCAAGGGGGGTGGTCACTCCGCTCCCACTCGCTGGACAACAAAAGCAAAATCGCTTTGGCATTTTTATGTTTTAATTGTGGCTTACGTTTGATTTGGCCAAAGGGCGAACGGCCATGACAGGCGCAAAAAACAAAGGCAAACAAACATACGGGTGGTGGAGGAGCACTTTTATTTACAAGTGGGTGATGGCAGATCCGAAATCATTTGTTATTTGCACATTTGCCAAAAGTAGGAAAAACTTTGTCGGCCGCTCTTGCTTCTAAATCGTTTTTGATGAGGGTCGCCATGGGGATATAGTATATAGCATAGGCAGGCTGATTCGGGGGGTCAGGGTGGTTAGAGGAGGCCAGAGGTGAAGGGTCGCAGGGAGACCTGCAAATGCTCCCGCCTGACCACTTCGGTCAACTCCAAAAGTTTAACTATTGTGGGGAGCGGACAATGCTGGTGCAGCCCAAGGCCAGAGATTCGGTAGTTGCTCATACAGCATGTGTGCTCGAAGTTGGAAAGTTTTCACACATATTTACTCTACTAGAAGATATAAGAGCATATATGCAAGATAGGAAAATGGGCAATTTAATAAGCGCCTAAATATAAACCAAGGTAGTTTAGAAATACGGGTTCTAAATCTTTGAAAACTTGGATTTATTTTAAATTAAAATTTTTTTATATTTTTATTATATTATATGAAATGTAATATCTGATTAAAAGTACTAGGATAAAAATGCCAAAAATAATACCTAGAGAATCCATGTTCTGTAATATAAAACCAAGTTTTATAAACTAAAACATAAATTTAGTCTTTTCAGGTGTCTTACTTTTTGATACTTGGACAATACCCATGGGCAATCTCTTTAGAGATTTAAATAATTCCCGTTAGCTGCGCTAGCTTTGAAATGCGAGACAATGGCGACTTTTGATGTGCAGGCGGTGCAAAAGGAAATGGGCTAATTAGCGAAAGTACGAAACACTTTCGTGAGCCTCGAATCTGCGCATCTCCCCGCAAAAGTTGCACTTGACATGCTGGAAAAACGTGACAACGTCAACACTCTGGCGCTCGCATAATAATCATATTGCAATATAATGGCGTGAAACAGCAACATCTGAGATACACACAGGGCAAGGGAAACAGGGACAAAAAGGACGCCACTCGCAGGACTGAAAAATGTCTGCGACAGTTGACAGTTGAAGCTGGCGATGTCAGTTTTTACTCTTTTTTTTCCAACGCCAGCTTTTTGTAATTGCGCAAAAATAAACTCCCCCCAGCAGCTTGTGAGCCAAAAATTTCGGAATCTGTTGCATAATTTCAGCTCTTTTTTGCTGTGTGGCTTTTTCCCGCGCGCGTGTTCAAGTGTTGACATCGCCAGCAGAAAAAGCAGAGGAGCTACGACAATTGCAATTGCAGCAGCAATTTATGGCCAAGAAAGCAGGACAAGATGAGGGTCGTCTGTCACTGGCTGTGTGTACACTGTACAGGGCTACGTATTTCCCAGCTACATTGCAACTACATTCGGAATTATAATATGCAAATTTCATGTGTGTCTGTGTGTTCCACAATTACCATGGCGCAGCAACTGTCCTGTCTTAATTAAAGAACCGAAAACTTGTTGTGTGGAAATTATTTTTCCATGCCTGCCAGCTGTATGGCCAAACAATTAAAAATCAAAATGCCAAATTACACTTGTACATTCACCAAATTACACAGAGCACACATCCTTGTATACGTATGTATGTGGAAAGCACAAGGAGCAAAATATAGAGACATCAGTAAACTAAGCTGACAGTAAAAAGTCCGTCCAAGCGTGTAATTAGAAATTATATCCAATTGCCCTGCGGCCACTCGAGCATCGGGCGAACGAATGGACGGCCAGGAAAGGAAGGCCATTCTACCTCCAACCTCCCACCACTACACATCCCATCCACCCACTTTTCCCACCCACAGCAGCCAAATCCTCACGATTTTTGGTTTTTCGAGACAGCCACAATGCCTGCGCGCCTGTGGATGCCTCTGGATCTGAATGTGCATCTGGATTTGTCTGAGAGATGGCAGCGTGAGTGAAAAGTTACCCATAGTTTCGGTAAACCTGGCCCTTAGAAACCAGAACTCAACCTGATCAGATCCTTATTTAAAATATGTTTTTAAATATTGTGTCTTAAAGTAATAGTGTTATTATTATCTTTAATAATACCTAAAATTATTCTTAAATTCCTATTATTATTATTGTACCCCAAAAAAATGTATTAATAACTTAAATTCTGGTTAACAAAATATTTTAACTGTTTTTTTCTTTCCGCTGAGTTTTGGCTAGAAGTATTTAGTATTAGTCCTGTCCCCTGAGAAAAGATATGGAAACCAGATCCCGTCACGCCCTCATCTCGTATCCATGTGTGCGTGACTTTGCTGGAATTGGCGCAATTTTTGCACCATGGGGCCAGTAAATATGTAAGTAAACAGTTATTAAATTAAAACGTTAATAATCTTAAAAGACCCTTCAAAACAAATTCTTTCTTTAAAAATAAAAATTATTTTTTTAAGAGTTACTACTAATTTTTTATTATTTTTATTCTGAGTATACTCGATTATTATAATAATATTATTTTAATATGTTCATTTTGGATACAGTCGTTTTTACTTTTAGGCATTTACTTTGGTTTGTATTTCTTAAAAAATATAGTTTTTTAAGGATTTTTTTTTAAATCTTAAAGTAATTCCTGACCCCAGAATGTGCAGAATGTTTAACTGCAACGGCAGCAGCCTTTCCGCTTGCCGCCTATGTTCAGCTTTCCCTTTCTGTGCCACCACCCTCTTTGGCTACCCCTTTTACCCCCCACCCACGCCTCTGTGTGCGTCTGTGTGTGGCAGCCTGTGTTTCTGCCGCCAACCCTTTGGCAGCTGCCAAATTGTCTCTTGTGGTTGTCACACACTGCGTATTAGTAATGCGCCATACGCAGCATCGCTGCAGACGCAGTCCAACAACCCGGTCCTTGCGTCCTTTCGTCCTTTAGTCC